GACTACATTCAAAAGTAGTCATAATTTGGTTGTTAATTACCTTCCTCTTTACGACTAATACTATTAGTCGTATTATAACTACCAAGTTACGACCAATTATAAATTAGTCGTAAATTGGATGTAAAGTAGACGTTAATTTACGACCACATGTTTGTAGTCGTTAACTGTAGTCGCTTTTCTCATGTTTTCTTGTAGTGATCGTGACGAGAGGGCTGTTCTACAATACCGGATGTCGCATGAGGCACGTCGCATGGGTGGGAAAAGACGTCTTCTCAATATGCCTAATCCAAATAACCACATTAACTCTGGTTCTTCTCTCAAAGAACTTGATCAACAAGTTACGTTTATTTCTTTATTTGACCTTATTCATTATTATTATTTTTTTTTTCATTTTGCTTTTGTCTATTTTTGTTGTTGGTGTAAGATATTTTTTTTTTTGGATAAGTTGTATAGGACATGTTCTTAATTGACATCCATGATACCTTTCTTCTTTGATCATATTCAGGATAATTTGTTTTTTTTTTTAATTTATTTTAAGTTTGTTTTTATCAAGCAGATATGTTTGCTAAACTATCGTCTTTTATCGCAATGGCGACTTAATAAGCTGAGCGATCGGGATGAAACAAGAAAAAAACTAACGGAACTTGTAATGGAACGAGAAAAAATAAATCGTGAAGTTCCAGGAAAAACTTCCCAATGGAACTCATCGCCGTTTTTGAGGGATTTGCGGAAACAGATTGAGGTAATCAGTTTTTCTAGCTAGTTACATAACCAAGCTATACAAGATTTTGACATTTTTTTACTGCCGTCTAGAGTAACAAAAGGTCTCAGTTACTGTAGGAAAACAAATGAATAAGTAAGGTTAATATGGTTTTGCACAATAAACATACGATTTTTGTTATGTATCACTCAGTATTAAGTAACTGCATAAAGCTCACTAAATCTAGTCTGAATTTGCATGTAAACTATAGATATATGTTTATATTCTTAGCTTTCAAGAAAATTTCGAAAAATAGTAGTTATGCTTTATTTACAAGTCCATTTCTAACTGTGTGTCCAAGGTACATTTGCACTGAGCCTAAAATTTGTTTGATAGTATTAGAAACAATTTAGACCTCGTTTTTCTAGATTTAGAGTTTTTTTTCAAATGATTTTATATGTATTTATGCATTGGACCTTCTGATTTGTTGAGATGACATGTTTGTTCATCACTTATGATAGATATATATCACCTATGTTTTTTTTTTTTTTTTGAATTGATTCTTAAATATATCAACTATGTTTGTTGTAAACTTGTAGGGTCTGAAGACAAGGAAACAAAAAAGGATAAAACATATTCCAGAGAGAAGAGAGAACCATTGTATATTGCTATAGGGTTTCTCTTCTTGTTGAAAAAACACTTGTAAACATAAAATAAGAAAATGTGATAAACTCTGTAATTTTTATATCATTATGTAGAAAGTTTGGATGGTGTGAAAGGATTGCTGAGAGCTTGAGATAGTAAATGGATTGTTTAAGGTTTTATGGATGTTAAACAGATTGAAATGAGGTGAATATTTAGTGCAGTGTAATTATATAAGTCTAAAGTTTTATTTTGCTACCATAGAACACTATGGTGCCCGGATGTGATCATTGATAGGATGCGGCTTGGAGACGATGAATGACTCCCAAGAACCGTCTATGCATCCCTGGCCTTTGAGAACCAAAGGACCACTTTTTGACTGCTAAAAATTCAACCCCTAAGCCAAAGGATTGATACCACGAGGAAGAACCAGAGACTTAACTCCTCAAGTGAAACCGTCGTCAAACTTTTGGAGAAAACTGAACAGGCCGCCGGGAGCGGGACCTCAAAAGAAGCTGTGGCGACGTAGAGACCTTCTCAAAGCCATAGACGACCCGTCGAAAGTAACCAGAAGCACACACGCGAAGAACTGAGCAGGACACTCTCACCACGATTACATCCGCCTACAACCTCGCCTCCGACTCCAAACAAGACCGGAGCACTCCTGATAACAGTGAGAAGCTACCGGAATCTCTCCGACCCGAAGAAACCCTAAGTAAACCACCACCATCACCGAACAAGCACAAAACACAGGATCTGCAGTAGCTAACCACCGCCGAACCCAGCCGCGACAAGACCCTTCGCTACCACTCCACGACGACAAAGACCGGAGAGATCCCAAAAAGGAAAATTGAATCTCTCCACCAACCCAAAACCGACTCTGAACACCCACGCGCCTCACCGACTCGTCAAATCTCCAGGACAGAAGTCACCAGCTACAGATCTACAACTCCCCGGAGCAGTTGCAAAGGAACCTGCGGCGGAGCACGAACCAGAGGCATCAACATATCGTACAGATCCACAAACAAGGGTGAAACAGAGCAAAAGAGAAAGAGGAAGAGGAAAGGAAGCAGCCTCCGGCGACCACGCGCGCAACCGCCGGTCACCGGAGCAAGGAGAGCCGGATTTGTTTTTTTTTTCTCTACTGTGACTTTTGGGGGAAGAGAGAAGACGGAGGATCAAGGAGAGAGAAAGATATGTTCTATGGTGGTGTAGTTGGTCTTTCTTGCAGGTTTAGGGACTGCTTTCCAGGTCGTGGCGGTGGAGACCACCCATCTTTGTACAGGTCGTGTTGATGGCAGAAGCGAGTGCTTACTCGTCTAGGTAGCGGTTCAGGCGCTGTGTGGCGTTTATATCATTCCGGCTTTGGTGGCGCTCGCAAGGCATTGGTATGTTTTTGAACTCTCCTCTTCGGCCGTCTTGTGCTTCATTGACAGAGAAAGTTATGAGTTTTGTGGAGTTCATCGGGAACTAGCTACTCCGGAAACGTCAAGGGAACTCCCGGCATCCGAGGAAACGAGGAGAACCTCACTTTCCCTAGAGTCACGTTGATGGTTGAGAACAGCTACCGATATNTCGCAAGGCATTGGTATGTTTTTGAACTCTCCTCTTCGGCCGTCTTGTGCTTCATTGACAGAGAAAGTTATGAGTTTTGTGGAGTTCATCGGGAACTAGCTACTCCGGAAACGTCAAGGGAACTCCCGGCATCCGAGGAAACGAGGAGAACCTCACTTTCCCTAGAGTCACGTTGATGGTTGAGAACAGCTACCGATATCGGATGATTTCGAAAAACAGCTTAGCGGAATGTGCCGGGTTTAGTGGGTGGGCGAAGCTAGGTTTGTAATAGTTAGATTTCGACATTTTGTTCAAAACAAGCTTGTAACCGTATCTGATTCCCAATTTCAGGCAGATTTTTATATTAAAAAAAAAAAAGTTTTATTTTGCTACTACACACTCACTAATAATGAAATTCAGGATCTTAATGGTTGACCAAAGAAAAAACATCTTACAAATAGAACGTATCTACATAAAAGCCCATATATACCAATTCACACTATAAAAGCCCACTAAAAAGAGTTATTACAAAAAACAAAAGATACGAAAGGGTTTATTTGAAAATACAAAGAAGTTGTGGAGGCTACTGGTTGTTTCCGAAGCAATCAATAATCACCAACTAATAACGCCTCTGAATCTCTCGCCAGATCCATTTCAAACTGAATCACAAAGCCAAATTTTCTTCACTTTCTGGTCTGAAAATTTCTTCCTTTTTTCGGTGTTTAAAAAATGGCGGCCTTTATCAATCTGGAAGACTCCCCAATGTTCCAGAAACAGGTGAAATTCGAATGCTGCTGAATACTTATTACCGTTTAAGCTTGAATTTTGAATTTCAGGTTTAATTTGTGAAAGTTTTGAAATTTCTTGTCTCGTGGCTGTTTTGGATTGATGGGATCAGGTTTGTTCCTTGGAAGGGACAGCTGAAGAGCTTAAAGGTCGTTGTCAGAAGCTATACAAAGGTGTTAAGAAGTTTATGTATGTCTCAAATAAACTATCCTTTTCTTTTTTTTACTACTGTCTTAATCTCATTGTTTTTCTGTTGATATAAAGATTCTAAGAATACCATTTGTGGCATATTTTTTCATGAAGTGAACTTAGAGTATTGGTACCATTTTGTCCCTTGTCTTAAGCATTAAAGCTCTGTTGATTGTTTTTCTATTTTCATGTATATCTTCTTTGATTATGACCTGCTTTCTTTTGCTATTTGTTTTCTTTGATTTGGTTATGAATTGTATTAATTATTCTTTTTATAGGGGAGTTTTGGGAGAAGCATCCAAAGGAGAAAGTGCATTTGCGGATTGTCTTGAAGAATTTGGGGCTGGACATGATGATCCTATCAGTCTTTCAATTGGAGGTTTGTTGATATATATACTTCTTTCTCAGCTTAAGACATTATTTCAGTTTAATTTTGGTCTCCTTGTCATTGCCTTTAATAAAACGCTTTATCTGGTACTCCAAAGAGACAGTGGTAGTCTCAGATGTCTTATATCTTACCTATTTGATTGGTTGTGTGTGACACCAGGCCCTGTTATATCCAAATTCATAAATACACTTCGAGAGCTTGCCTCCTATAAGGAGTTTCTTTGCTCACAGGTATGCTCATAGACTCCATAGTATCTTGTGAACAATAGTAATGCTAGTAAAGAGTAAGATGCCTAACATCACCGAGAGCATATTCTTGTTTGGTAATTTAAAACTTAGGTTTGGTTAGCATAGTAATTCAGAGCTTCCTGACTTGAATTTTTTTCTGGAAATGCTCCTTTTGAGTTACTAATCAACCCTGTTGAAAGGGGAGCAATGAAAAAAAATAATAGTTTGAGTTCAAAAATATTCTGTGCAGATACCTTCAACTTCAACAATGTCTCATTCGTATTTTATGGGGAAATTTTTGTAGGTGGAGCATGTGTTACTTGAGAGATTGATGAACTTTATTAATGTTGATCTACAAGAAGCTAAGGTGTTCAATTATGTCTGCTAAATTTGAGAAATTGCTGTTTTTTTTTTAATTTACTGAGTCTCAACTCATGCTGTCAATTTTTTAATCATCCACTATGCTTGTTCTCCCCTTGCAGGAATCTCGCCATCGATTCGATAAAGCTGCTAATTCGTATGATCAGGTACTACTTGGCTATAGAGTCTATAGCTTCCTTAGTTTCTTGTGCATGCAGTTGTAATTGATAGATATTCTTAATCTTAAGCTGTGTAATGAGTTTTCTTATCTACTTGTAGTCGCGAGAAAAGTTTGTGTCGCTGAAGAAGAATACGAGAGGTGAAATTGTTGCAGAGTTGGAAGAGGTAGAGCACTTAGTTCTGATGTATTTCTTTCGTTTTTCTTCTCTTTTTGACACGCCAGAAATTAAGTGCTGTTCTTCTCTTAATATTGTCTGGCACGTACTTCCTTGCATGATAACTTACTTTTGCTGTCTGGTCCGAATGACAGGATCTGGAGAACTCAAAGTCAACATTTGAGAAGAGCCGTTTCAATCTAGTATGTTACCGTACTAACAGAAGCCATTACTATTTACTCTCAATATTTTTACCTCTAATTAAAATTTTGCTTTGGTTGAAGAATTCAGGTCAATTCGTTGATGACTATCGAAGCTAAAAAGAAGTATGAGTTTTTGGAATCTATAAGTGCAATAATGGATGCTCATCTGAGATATTTTAAACTTGTAGGGTCTCTAATTCTACATTTTGAATCTTTACCATCTAAGACCAACCAAATTTGACTTCTGTGTCCTGTTGTAATCCTTTATTTGGGGTCTTTTTCAGGGATATGACTTGCTGGGTGAACTGGAACCATATATTCATCAGGTACAAAACTTGATGTGTCAATAGTTTAGATGTGCAGAACTGCTTTAAGTCCACTGACGCTAATACTTGTGACTCTTTACAGATATTAACATATGCCCAACAATCAAAAGAACAGTCGAAGATCGAACAAGATCGACTAGCTAAACGAATTCAAGAATTCAGAACCCAGTCTGAACTAGACAGTCAACAACTTGCAGCTAATGCAGAGATCTCCAGCGTTAACGGAAACCGTGTTGTTGGAACTGTCCCTTATAAAAATACCGAGACAAGTTTAACAGCAGACAAGGAAGTAAGTGTTTCCCAGTTCATTCTTGCAAGAATCGAGTGCATATTCACATTTTCATTTGTTGGTTCTCGTGGCTCTCTTGTGAATGCTTTGTGCTCATAGAAGCGGTATCTTTGTGGTGATCAGTTGGTTAAGTGAGTTATGCATGTTTTTATCTCACGGCAGAGAAATGGGTGAAGATAGGCTGATACCTTTAAGAAAGAAGATGGAACAGTCCTTATACTGGAATTAGATGCTTGAAACTTGCTTGCTCTACTGCAACACAATTGTCTTAACCCACTCGCTGTTCATCTGTTGATACGTTTTAGTCTGTTTCAATTTCTTGATAGCTCTTACAGAAGTCAGTCCTAGTAGTGTCATGGCTTGTGGGCCAATGGAATTATGCAGCATACAGAGACTTGTTCTGTGATCACACTTCAATTTTCAGCACAGTTTGAATTTATTCTTGTCTTACGTTCTTTCTTGTTTGGTACGAATGCAGGTAATTAAACAAGGGTATTTACTAAAGAGATCATCAAGTTTGAGAACTAATTGGAAAAGGAAGTTTTTTGTCCTTGATAGTCATGGCTCCATGTACTATTACAGAAACAATGGCAATAAATCAATGGTACTTGCGCATTACCTCTTTTTCCTGCCTCATATCCATGAGAGACGTCCATAGAGTTTCTATTTGTTTTTAACGGTGGAGTTTTTTTTTCTGCCATTCCCATTCTCAGGGATCTCAGCATCACTATAGTGGTTCTTCTGACCATACTGGTGTCTTTGGTCGGTTTCGTGCAAGACACAATCGATCAGGTTCTCTCACTGAGGGCAGCTTAGGCTATAAAACCATCGATCTCCGCACTTGTTTGATAAAATTGGATGCAGAAGACATGGATCTTCGGCTCTGTTTCAGAATTATTTCTCCTCAAAAAACTTACACACTTCAGGTACCCTTTTTTCTCTAAGACATGTATCGTCTGGTCTGTTACAAGAATAAGATCTTGTTGGGGAAATTAGTACTCAGAATGGTTATATAAAGTATTCCCTTAATTGGCTAGGCTGAAAATGGAGCGGATAGGATGGACTGGGTAAACAAAATCACATCAGCAATAGGGACGCTTCTGAATTCTCATTTTCTGCAACAGGTTGACACAATAAGTCTCTTTCATTTTTACAATCTGAATTGATAAGGGAGTTTCCGGCTAATACAGATCCTTTTTGCAGTCGCCAGGTCGATATTTGGATAATGACTACACTGGTTCTACTCCTCCTAAAGGTGTAGTCTCCATGGATCAAAGTCAACATAATGACGCGAGAAGAAATATTGGGGATGATGTCTCCACAATACTCAGAGGAATTCCAGGGAATAATGTATGTGCAGAGTGCAATGCTCCTGATCCCGATTGGGCATCACTAAACCTTGGAGTTTTGTTGTGCATTCAATGCTCTGGTGTTCACAGGAACCTTGGGGTTCATATATCCAAGGTATGATGTTGGAAACTAGTTTGGGAACAGTTTTTCGAGCATCTTTCCTTGAATTCTCATTTCTGGAGGTAGTTTTGTCTAGATCTGAAGTTTCTTTGGTAAACTCTCTTCAGCAGAGTTTAAAGTTTTAGCAAATGTCAACATCATTGTAGTTATAGCTTTTGGAAAGTGCTAGATCTCTAAGCTGATGTCATTGATTTTTTAAACCCCACAAACTGCAGGTGAGATCCCTCACATTAGATGTGAAAGTGTGGGAGCCAACTATCTTGGACCTATTTAGAAATTTGGGAAATTTGTACTGTAATTCACTGTGGGAGGGGTTACTTCACCTTGACGATGACAGGTATGGTTTCTAAGAATATAATATTGTTTTTTGTGTTTGTTCAAAAAAAAAAAAAATAATAATATAGTTTTTTGTGTATTCCAAGGGAAGACCAATTATCAAACACTGTATATGCCAGCAGTATTTTGTTTCATAACTCATGCATGTAGCTGATGTGGTACAGTGTTGTACTTTTTGCAGTGAAAACGAATCAGCATTCTCACGTGCTTCAATTTCGAAACCATGTCCAGACGATTCCTTTACTGTGAAGGAGAAATACATTCTAGCGAAGGTAATGCATTAGTAAATTATATTATATGATTTGTTAAAGCTGAAACTAAACCTGATTGATGATGATTTGTGCTTGTGCTAGTACCTGGAGAAAGCATTAGTCATCAAAGATGAAAGCAAAGCCCACCCTTCTGCTGCGTGTAGGATATGGGAAGCTGTTCAAAGCAGAAACATACGAGAAATATATCGACTGATTGTAACATCAGGGGATGTGAATATCATCAACACCAAGTTCGATGACATAACTGATATTGATGCTTACCACCATGCTGACGCATCAGAGGAAGCAGTAAAGAAAAGACGAGACCCAACTGCTTGTCAGAGAATCAAAGACTCTAAAGAACCAGGAAACTGTCTTCAAGGCTGTTCATTGCTCCATGTAGCTTGTCACATTGGTGACTCTGTCTTGCTTGAACTGTTGTTGCAGTTTAGTGCTGACCCAAACATGAGAGATTACCACGGAAGGACTCCGTTACACCATTGCATATCTTCAGGGAACCACAAGTTTGCAAAAATTCTTCTACGAAGGTAACATTTCAAGAACGCTCTCTTGTTTTAACAGTATGCATTTTATAATTATTGAACTGTTTGTGTAAAAACAGAGGCGCACGTCCATCGATAGAGGACGATGGAGGACTAAGCGTGCTGGAAAGAGCAATGGAAATGGGAGCCATAACCGATGAAGAGCTCTTTCTTCTCTTAGCCGAGTGCGCTTAAACCAATACTGTACATGTTCATAAGAATATCACCTTTTGAGGTGATGTTCGTTTGCTCACCCAGGTGATCCATCTGGGTGAAGATGCAAATCAATGTTCGTTTTATACGTTAAAATGCTACATCTAAATGGATCACCCAACTGATTTTTTAAAATCTCATCTCAAATTCTCACCCAAATGAGGGTGAGTCTTGATGGTGCATCTGGATGCAGATGCATCTAATTCAGTCCAAAATCATTAATGACAAAAAATAACCTTTTAAAATAAATATAATTTTTCAAACCATAAATACTAAATTTTTTAGCAAATATATCTTACCGTAAAAGTCAAAAAATATTTTTTCGCCAAAATCGTAAAAACCGAAAAATGTATTTTCCACCAAAATCGTAAAAATACACTTTCTCGACAAAACCACAAAAATACATACTCCCGCCAACAATGCATTTTGCTGCCAAAACCACAAAAACGTATTTTCACGCCAAAACCGTAAAAATGTATGTTTCCCACTAAAACCGTAAAAACACATAAAACACATTTTCCAGCCAAAACTGTAAAACGCATTTTCTACCAAAATCATAAAAATACATTTTCCCACCAAAACCGAAAAACGCGTTTTCCCGCCAAAACCTTAAAAACAGGTTTTCATGCCAAAACCATAAAAATGCATTTTCCCACCAAAACTGCAAAAACGCGTTTTTTCGCCAAAACCGTAAAAACGCGTTTTCCCGCCAAAACATATAAAACACGTTTTCCCGCCAAAACTATAAAACGCATTTTCTACCAAAACCGTTAAATGCATTTTCCCGCCAAAACGCGTTTTCCCGTCAAAACCGCAAAAACACATTTTCACGCCAAAACCATAAAAACGTATTTTCCGCCAAAACTGCAAAAACGCGTTTTCTCGCCAAAACCGTAAAAACGCGTTTTCCCGCCAAAAACACATAAAACACGTTTTCCCGCCATAATTGTTAAACGTATCTTCTACCAAAACCGTAAAAATGTATTTTCTCGTGAAAACCGCAAAAACGCGTTTTCCCGTCAAAACCGCAAAAACACGTTTTCACGCCAAAACCATAAAAATGTATTTTCCTGCTAAAACTGCAAAACACGTTTTCTCGGCAAAACGGTAAAAATGCGTTTTCCCGCCAAATTTGCAAAAAATGTTTCCCGCTAAAACTGTAAAAACACAATTTCATGTCAAAATCGTAAATGTTAATTTTTCCGGCAAAACTGGAAAAACTCATTTTTCATCAAAATCGTAAAAATGCATTTTCCCGCTAAAAATGTAAACACAAAGTTCTTTTATTCATTTTATTAACAAATCCATCTGGATGCAGATGCAAGTTAAAAAAAAACAAACGAACAAGTTACATTTAGATGATTCATCTAGATAGATGCAATAGAGAAACGAACAACATCCAGATGGAGCATCTGGATAAGACATCTAGATGGACCATCTGGATGCATCTTTCAGATGTACAAACGAACAGAGCCTGAGACACCAAAATGCAAAACCATGAGATGATGATTCAGCTTTTCTACAACTTCACAAATTAGTTTTCTTCAGGAATATATTGTGAAAATAGAAAGATAAAAAGTACTACAAGTGTCACTATATAAGCAATGAGATTTGTTCAAGAAACATCTTATGTTTTGTTTTAAATTAATGGAGTTTGTGTATCAAAGTAGTAAAGTCTGTGTTGCCAAAATCTCAAATTTAATCAATGCAAAAGATCTCGTGCAAGTCCTACAGGTAGATGAATCAAAATGGCATAACAAGAATCAAAGAAAGAAGCTTTACACTATGAACCCTACTTCAAGAATCACAAAAGTTATTCTAGAAAAGCAACGAAGAAGGCACACAGCCACTGTGTTCTCTATATGCTCACTTGATCTTCCCTTGGCAAGCTCTGAACAGTATCCGACCATCTCCCAGGTGAATGTTCGCTACTGTTAGACGAAAACGGTGCTTCAGCTCTTGCATCCCTCACCATCTTCAACACCTCTCTCATCACAGGCCTGTTCTCAGGTTGAATGGTAACGCAAACATTAGCGATACTCAAAAGCGCCTGAAGCTTCTCCTCTGACGCTTCGTTCCCTGAAGAAGTCGGTTCTTCCCCTGATTCAGTCTCTTCTTCTCTCACCGCACGCACCCACCTAGAGATATCTGACCCGTATTCCTGAACAAGGTCCTGGAACGGTGTTCGACCCGTTAAAAGCTCGAGGAGAAGCACCCCGAAGCTGTACACATCAGCAGGTTGCGTAGAGGCTTTCCGCGGGTCTCTACACTCTGGTGCTTTGTAAAAGAGAGAGACCGCACTTGTCTCTTCAGCCGAATCAGGATCATGGAGAGTACTGAGACCGTAATCCGTAAGGCAGGACTCGAAATCAGGACCTAACAGAACATTGGACGATTTCAAGTTCCCATGAGTTAAGCCAGGGTTCTGATGTATGTAGAGCAAAGCTGAGGCTAAGTCCTCAGCTATTTTCAGACATGAAGTCCAATGAAGTGGCTTCCCATTTCCAGAAGCTCTAGTTCCTACAAACAAACACACACACTTAAGCTGACTAATGTCTCCAATTTTCTACATGCAATGAGATACATAAACCCATCATAGGACAAGCCTAATGAAACATTCGCCTATAGCCCCAATTTTTTTGAAAAAACTTAACATAAACCTCCAAATTTGTAAAAACTTCTTTTTATTGTTTAGTAAAACTGTTACTACCCCAAAATCTTAAGGCCGCCCCTATACATACCGTGGATAAGAGTGAAGAGACTGCCATTAGGGAAGTAATCATAAACAAGCAAGCGTTCTTCTTTAGCCTGGAAATAAGCTCTAAGAGAGACGAGATTAGGGTGTCTAAGCTGCCCAAGAATCTCAACATGTCTCTTAAACTCCTCCATACGAGGATACCTCGCGTTCTTGAGCCTCTTCACAGTGACTATAAACCCAGACTCCATCACAGCCTTGTACGTGCTCCCTAACGTCCCTCTCCCCAACGTCTCAGCTGAAGCTTTAAGCAGATCCTCCATTGTGTATCTCACCACCGTAGTAGTAGTCTCGCTTGAATCGCTTGCTCCGAGGAAAACAAGCGTCCCTACTGCTCCTTCTTCGCTTCTTTCCCATGAGAATCCTCTGTCTTTCCTCTCGATATCTCTCTCCGGAGTCTCCGAAGAAGCTGCTGCTGCTCCTCCTTCTCCTTCAGCTATTCCTTTCCCTTTTCTATCTTCTCCAGGAGATTTCTTCTTCCGTCTACAGCAGAGGATAAGAATCGTCAGGAGAACGATGAAGATTAGAACTCCACCGGCGGCGATTCCGGCGATGATTCCGATTAGTTTCGCTTTGTTCTCTTTCTCCTTCTTCGGTATCGGTTTCGGCGAAGGCGTAGGCGAAGTTTCGCATGGGATTCGGATCTGATCGCCGCAGAGAGCGACGTTTCCGGCGAACGAAGACTCATCGAACTGTTTCAGACCACGCGTCGGCGGGATTTCGCCGGAGAGTTTGTTATTAGAGACGTTGAAGAATCTGAGACTCGTCTGGTTAAGAGGAGGGATCTCCCCCGTGAAGAGATTCTCCTGAGCCTCGAACGTGTACAAGCGAGATAGACGGAGGAGGGAGGTCGGGATCTCGCCGGATAATCTGTTACCGGCGAGGTTAATCGTTTTCAATCGGTGGAGCGAGGTGAGAGACTCCGGGAAGGGGCCGGTGAAATTGTTGTTGTTTAGGTAAACCGATTTGAGATTGTGTAAACCGGAGAGGTTAGGGATTGAACCGGAGAGTGAGTTTGATTTGAAACTGAGAACCCTGAGTTGGTCTAATTGGTTTAAGATTCTTGAGTCGAGTGAACCGGTTAGGTTTAGATACTCGAGGACGAGTTTAGAGACTCTTCCGTTGAGACATTCTTTGACTCCTTCCCAGTTGCATAGATCTGTTCCTCGCTGCCATGGGATTGAGTTTGATGGATCTATTGAGGATTTCAAGGTGAGGAGAGAGTCCACGTCGTTGGATCTCGCTGGAGAGAGTAAACAGAGGAAGAGTGTGGAAGCTGAGAGTAGGAACAATGTGGTCGGAGACGAGGAGGAAGAGACCATGACTACACGACCGTGAATGAATGAATGAATCAAAGAGAGAATCTGAAATGAAATATACTGGTGGAATCGAGAGTTTCCATAAAAAGGACCACCTAGGGAATCTCTTAGCCGTCACTTTCCATTATTAGTCACTTTCCAGATCTGCCCCCATTTGTTAAAGCATCTCTAAATCGAAGGAAAGAAATAAAAAGAGAGGAAGGAGGTTTAGTTTGAAGAAGAAGGTGTGAGGGAGAGAGTTCATCAATGGTGTCTGGTTGTGAGCATGAGGGAGGAGTATTAATGAACATGTGAGTATCTTTTCTCGAAGTTCTTGGTCGATGAAGATGTCACGTGAAGCCATGCCTGTCAAAAAACTCTTTTTATTTTTATTTTTTTTTCTCTCACTTGACTTTCTTCAATGCAGTCATGAATAATTATATTTAATTATTTATATGTGGACACGCATTATATGACTAATTAATAATGGTTTTTATGAAGGAGAGACGAATGGGGAAAGAGAAAATAATTATAGGAGAGTGACAGATAGGTTTGGGGCCATTGAGTTACTGCTACTGAGAAAATGTAAGAAAGTTTTGGAAGGAGAAGATAGAGAGAGATTAATGGTGGTGAGCAGAAGAAATGTGGTGGAGATATTAATTAGTGGTGCATGATTTAAAAAGTAAAGAGAGACATTGTATTTCGATTTTAAAATTGGTGTCTGGCTCCTCATGCCTCTTACCCAATTATTGAACTTTCTTTTCCACCTCTTTTTTCTTGTTGAATATTCGAATAATTTATAGAATAGATAATACAGTATATTATATTTTTTGTATTTCATTTTGGACCGCTGGTTATAGTAACGAGGTAATTTACTTTTGGTCAAAAGTGTATGAGAAAATAAGAAGAAAACATAGATGCTTTATGGTTGGTGCTCAAATTTTTTTATTAGACCAATAACACGAGGATATTGAAGTATTAATTAGGAATTTATGAGTTGCTTAGCTTGGGCGTGATGAAAATGTAATAAAGATAAACTGTGACTTGAGTTCACGTAAAGGCTGAGCAAAATTTAACCAATGAATCCGGTTCATCACCAAACTCCCAAGAAGAGACTGTTGTCATTTAATTGGCATTAATTTTGCTGACTTGTTTGACCTTCAATTCGTTCATGAGGTTTTCGACTTTGGAGTAGTAAATTAAACAACATAATAGGATTATTTTAGAACTCGAAATCTTAAAATAAATACGTTTGATTCATTTTAAAACTACTACTACTACTACATCCTTCTCGATAGATCTATCACCTTGTTTGACGGATTCGTCTTAATTGACTTCGGATTAGTTGATTATATAAAAAAAAAACTAGACTTTTGAATTAGCCTTCTTTTCCAATCAACATTTTGGAGGGAAAACTTCTATAGTTTTTGAATGCTTATTCGACTGGGTGACTGTTAAACGTGTTGACTGGTTTAGTGATTACTTTTACGGCGTGCTACCCAAATTATAGCTTTTACCCAATGGTCCATGGCACTAAATGCTCAAATATATAGTGAGGAATAGTATATGGTCCTGGCCTTTTAAAAGCGAATAGCATTATAGTAGGTCCACGGGCTGGGTCCATCCTAATCTGCTCATTAAAAAAACATTCTGGGTTAATTAGGAATGAAATCACGACGCTAGGGACTGTTTTGCAAATTTTAATTTCTTATCAAAACGTTTTTTCCTAATCGAAGAAGCCCTATCAAACACATAAAAAAGGCTCTTACTCTCCGCCGGCGGCAAATATCACACCGTTAGGGTTTCATCATCGCCTAGATTTATAATTCAATGGCAACCAGTAAGTATATTCCTCCTACACTCGCTCAATATTTTCGCATCTGAGTTTGATCTCCTTGTGGTCTGTTTATGCAGTGGCTAGGTCGTTTCTGCAGGCGATATCGAAGGATGAGGCGGTGGCTCCTCCGCTCAGAGTTGTTCAGATCGAAGGATTGGTAAATTATCTCTCTGCTTCTGCGAATTTTAGAGTGATTGATCTCAGCTATTTCATTAGTCTTTAAGAAATCTACATGAAGCTAAATTGCACGTTAGGATTGGTAAAGAAGTAGTGATGCTGAGGTTATTGTATGTGATAGGCTGTGCTGAAGATAATCAAACACTGCAAGGAGTTTGCACCAACGCTTGTCACAGGGCAGCTTCTTGGACTTGATGTTGGTAGTGTCCTTGAAGTCACCAATTGTTTTCCTTTCCCTGTAAGTTGGAAGAGTTTGCACATTTTAAGAATGTTTATAGCTTGTCCCTGATTTACTGTAACATTCAGGTGAGAGACGACGATGAAGAAATTGAAGCGGATGGTGCTAATTATCAGCTTGAGATGATGAGATGTCTGAGAGAGGTTAATGTTGACAACAACACTGTTGGCTGGTAGGTTTTTTATTTCATCGTCTCTGATTGGAATCTTACTTTTTTTGGGGGGGGGGGGGGGGTTAANGTTAATAAGATGTGCCTGGTTTTTTTCAGGTACCAGTCCACAGTTCTTGGATCCTATCAGACCGTTGAACTGATTGAAACCTTCATGAATTACCAGGTATTTTGTAGAATCCTGTTATGTCTTAATGTCATGATACTCTAGATTCTGGTTTGGTCTATTCAGTACTTCGGATAGCATAATCTAGAGCTGAGGATATTTCATTGTATATCATGGTTACTCTAGTGTACAATAGGTAGATCCATAGATTGGTATCCGTTCTGGTGAAAAAACTTAACTGGGAACTGAACCATGGAAAAATTTGGTGAAAAATCTATTACAAGTCCCTTGCAAAATCAAGAATTGGACTTTAAGAAATGATTTCCTTCTGCATCTACAGGAGAACATCAAGAGGTGTGTGTGCATCATCTATGATCCCTCTAAAGCTGACCTAGGCGTCCTAGCTTTGAAGGCTTTGAAGCTTTCAGATTCCTTTATGGAGCTGTACCGAGGTGGAAACTTTACAGGCGAGAAGTATGTAACCTGATCTATTAAAAATTTAGGTTTTATGAGCCACTTGGGATAGTTGTAGTGGTCTAATCACTGTTTTTTTGTCAGGTTGAGAGAGAAAAATTTCTCTTGGATGGATATTTTTGAAGAAATTCCTGTAAGTTTCTAGAGCTCTGCTCTTGTATCTTAAAGTCGCACTAGCTTATGTTAAGTAAAGATGTGGGTATATAAGTTTACCTAATTAAAGTGTCTTCTGAGAAATTTTTTTCGTTTAAACGTTGGTTTCTTTCGTTTGACAGATCAAGGTTTCAAACTCTGCGCTTGTCAGTGCCTTCATGACCGAACTGGAGACTGATGCACCTGTCTCACAGGTATAATATTAAGATCTGGACAGGGATTCCCGCGTGCTGGCAGTATTCCAATTTTGACTCTTAACTCTTTGACATTTTCTCTTGTATAGGGTGATTATGATCGTCTACACTCATCAACAACTCCTTTCCTTGAGAACAATATGGAGTTTCTGATTAAATGCATGGATGATTTATCTATGGAGCAGCAAAAGGTGTGTGGCTTATTCTGCACTTTTTCTTCAGTTCTCACCCTCAGAACTATCTAAATAAAATATCTTATTTTATACTCCCAGTTCCAATATTACTACCGGAATCTCTCTCGTCAGCAAGCGCAGCAGCAAGCCTGGCTCCAGAAGAGGAGGTAAGTCGCATGATTGGTTCTGGTCCAACTTGTATCTACCCTTTTCTTCTCTTGCTAATATTCCGAGTAACAAGCTAAGAGGTTTGGTTGTTTATAGGACGGAGAATATGGCTCGTAGATCAGCTGGAGAAGAGCCTTTACCCGAAGAGGATCCTTCAAATCCAATCTTTAAGCCAATCCCTGAACCATCAAGGCTAGAGAGTTTCCTCATCACAAACCAAGTCTCAAACTTCTGTGGTCAAATCAATGGGTATGTTCTCTTGTTGATCTCTCTAAAGACCATTTTCTGCATCTCCACGTTTGAAAGAAACATAAAATGAGTCAAACCCATTGTTGCCATGCAGAGTGGCTGGCCAGAACTTCAGCAGGCTCTACCTGACCAAGGCATTGCACGATAACTGATTACTAGACCACCCAAGTTTTTGTTTAAAGTCGAACAAATGAGAACAGATCCTGTTTTTTTTTCTCAGTTTTGTTTTGTAATCACTTTAAAATACATAATTTGATTTCTGAAAAACACGTTTTTAATTATTGTGATAATAGTACGAGAAAAGGCTTGCCGAGATCATTAAATTACACTTTCTATCTGTACTAGATTCTTTCTCCGCGCTACGCGCGGATAATATACTTATATTTGTCATATTTATCATTTTTAGTTTTATGTGAATTTTTATCTTTTAAATTATATTTAACTAATTTTTAAATTTGAATATTTTATATTTTCAGTTTGAAGTAAGTATTTTAAATTTGAATATAATTTAAGTTCTATGCATAATTATATTCTTTACANACTAGATTCTTTCTCCGCGCTACGCGCGGATAATATACTTATATTTGTCATATTTATCATTTTTAGTTTTATGTGAATTTTTATCTTTTAAATTATATTTAACTAATTTTTAAATTTGAATATTTTATATTTTCAGTTTGAAGTAAGTATTTTAAATTTGAATATAATTTAAGTTCTATGCATAATTATATTCTTTACATAACTCTAGAATCTTGAACTCGATTTTTCATATTTTATTATTTAGTTGTGTTACATATAATAGAAACATATTTGACAATAGTATAACTTCCATGTTATATTGAAGATAATTTTATAACTAAATTATCCATTGTAAAAGATCGGAATCTCATCTCGAATAAATTAACGAAAAGAAAAAGTATTCTATTAACCTATTTAAAATATTAAACCCTTTTTCAAAAAAAAATACATAATAATAATTTTTTACGTGTAGTAGTTAGAAACTGACAATTGAATATCAATCTAGAATATTATTTTAATATGTCCAATGGTAAAATATTAATTATAATAAAAAAACTTGAATTTTATCATATTACATGAATTAGAAGTCTTTAAAATTTACGATATATTTTACTATCACAATATATTTTATTCATTTATTATTTTGACATTATAAAGTATTACTTTAGTTTTATTTGCATATTATTTTGTTAATAATTTAGTTTTTAAAAGTAATTTTAAATTATCAAGAATATAATATATTTAAAATTATTTATTTAAATATATCCAAATATGATGTCTCATTTTATATGTTTTTGCATTGAGAATATTTAATTTGTAGTTTGTATATTTAATAAAACTTTTTTTTGTGCCATTCTATGGTTTTAATAATATGTTTGTCATTTCATTTCATTGCTACGAACATGATTTTGTAGTGATCAGTGATAATGTAATTTTAACATTTTAAGTATTATAATTTATCCTATATTTTCTATTTAGATTTTTCAATCTTCATGCTGTCATTTATTTTAGTATCATTTTAATTAGGTAATAGGTTTAAAAATGTAATTAAAACTGTGTATGTTATAAATTTAGACTTTTTATCGTAACTGAACACTATCAATTATGGAAATTATATTATGGTTTTATTTTACTAAATCTTTCTTTTTGTGTATAATTTGCTTTATTTATTATTTTTACAATTTTATTGCCTTATTATTTAGTTGCAGAGAAATGTTATTTCCAATTTTTGTACCTTCATTCTATCTTTTCTTTGTTATTATCTAAAGGATCTGGTATTATTTAGTAATATATATATGATATTTATACTGTTTACTGTTTTGCTATAAATAAAAAAGTATCATAAAATATCAATGTGACTAAAAATATTTATCACAAATATACAATATATTTTGATGACATATATTTTTAGTCATTCTTGAGTTATATAAGAAAAATTATTTGGAAATAAGTTGTATGTTGTTGTCTATATATATCATGTATTCATTCTTTAATAATTTAATACTTATATATTCTTCGGACGTCATCTCAATTATTTTGTTGGGCTAACTTTCAGTAATGACTCATTTTCTCATAACTTTTCTTTTTTTAGTAAATAGATTATTTTTTCAAAATTTTCATTTTCTCATAACTTTTCTTTTTTTTAGTAAATAGATTATTTTTTCAAAATTTTCATTATATTTTTGCCTTCTGTTTTTTTCTTCTTCACTCAAAACTAATTACACCATTTTTTGGATTTATCAAGACAAAAAATATTTTATGACTCCACGCGGATCTATCAAGACAAAAAAATTTATGACTCTATCCAGTCGTTCTGCTTCATGTTCATATACCTTTATAGTTTTTGGTTGATTTTTGTTTGTTTGTTGTCAATTGATTATATATTTGTGTTAACAGAAAATACATCTTTATGTTTTCCTTACATATCTTTAATTGGTTTACGGTTCAACCATTTCTAATTTACTGAGAATATTATGCTATCGCACTGCAGATCTATGCTAGTACTTAATCATGTTTTATGCTAGTACTTAATTTCTAAATTTTAATCATATTATACTATCGAACTTCAGATTTGTAGTACACATTTGTGTTGCCTTCCTACTGATATCCTCATGAAGACGTAGCAGAAAAGTGTGATAGTATTTGATTGGCCTCCAAATCAAGCTCAGGAGGCTATTATTCATAACAACTTCACGCATATGATAAAGAGAAGCCTCTTTACAGTGATACAATTGTCTCATTGCATCTCTTTGCATACAGAGATCTGAAAAATTAGAATATCGGGCACAAATCCTTTAACATGATAAGATTTGTTTTGAATGATCTTTCTACATCAATGATAAATCAAAATAGATATCCAGAGATATGGCTAAACCTTACTTGGAACTCATGGTTTCAGTCTTTTATTTACATCCTTTCATTATTGTCAAACCTACGTATTAGACACAGAACTTATGAAATAGATTTCCACTGCTCTCCAGCTACATTTCCAACCTGATTATCCATGGAACTTTAACCGCAGTACAACTGTCCAGATTGAGAGGGTAAGATACAAAATATTTTTAAGATGAGAAGAATCACTCACAACAGCAACAAATTTATTCCTGGGGTGCTCTTTCTTGAATGTCTGAGGGGAACTTTCCCCTTCAGATCACCAAAAAATAGAACAACGTCAGTACTAACATGAAACAAAGCAAAAAAACTTAATTAACAAATCGAAAAGAAAAACAATCAGAACAAATATAAAAAGTTTTTAACAAATCAGAATTAACAAACAAAACAATAATCATCTTCCCAAATATTTTAGGATAACCAAACGCTTCTGGGAAATATTTTTGTCCATTAAAAAAAAGTATAAGCATCTCTGAGATCAACTAATACTAACCTTTGAGTCTTTGACCAAGAGTAGATAACGTCCATCAGGGAAGGCCTGCTGCTGCTGGTAGATAACGTCCAGTTTGCATTCATGTTGTATTTGGACACCACAGAGAAAAATTAAGATTACAAATCAAAGAAAGATGCACATGATGTAGATAAATACATAATAAACAAACTTTCAGATGGGAAATCAATTTTACCTCTGCAATTTTCCGTGCACTTCCTTGGAGCTGCTGCAATGGTCTGTTAAGTTCATTTCTTAGTTCTGCCTTTACATCTGATTTATCTAGAGGAATGAAACAGCTTGCAAGGGCAGATACTTGGTGATGATCCAAATCATTAAAAGTACCTGAGAAGCGTTTTAATGTCAACACAACGCAAGGATATATGGTGTTACTCAAACCAAAAAGCATTGACTCAGTCGCCAGAAAGGCCTGAACTTAACATAGGGTAGCTAAATAAGTTGTTGTACCATTAAACATCAATTCAGTGACAAGCAGTTCATCCCCTGTGTCTATCAAGCAGGAAGCTCTTCCCTTTAACTGGACGACACCATCAGCATCAATGTTTCCAAGTTTCTTTAATACCCGAGAACGGTTTCTAAGCTCATCTAGAAACTTTTAAACTGTGGAGATAAACAATATGAGGTAAAACATTAGAGGGATGATAATAGTCAAAATTATAACAGGTTCGGGTAACTAAAGCCGTCACTCTAGTTGATATATTCATGGATGAGTAAGCAAGTAATATACCTGGGAATCACGCATTTTCGATTTGAACTGCTAAATTTCAAAATTCACCTCCGCTTTCCTCTGGAAAATCCTGATTTACTGATCATCTTCAGACGGCGACACAGAAAACACAAGACAAAAGATTTTTGAAGAAGTGCTCAAGTTCTTAGTGTGCTTTCTCTTAAATGACAACTCTGGTTCTTTGTGTCTTTTCTCTTTATGTATGCTGCAGATCGAAGTGAAACTTGCGATGTAATAGCTTCTCTATGCTACTTTTGTTTTTGAGTGAATCAGAATCTCTGTGGCTATGTGATCATAATCTTGTGATTATTTGAAACAAAATGATAAAAGATACAAATGTAAAGCTTGAAACTATCAAACTCAAAAACACAAGCAATGAGCAGAGACAACAATAGAAAGTTATCAGAATCGAATATATGTACCATGTGTTTTATTTATACTTGTAATAATAGAAACACAGAACCTGATAATCAAGAATTGGTGTATTTGTGCCTGCAAAGCTACATAAGATTACATCTCCTAGCGATGTAAAACCTAGAATGCCTTTCTTTCACCATCGCTAAACCTTGATATATTCATGGATGAGTAAGCAAGATGCAGGTAACGGAATATTGAGTATAGCAAAAACCTTGTGTATCGGATGAGCAAGTAACTTCTCTGCATCTTGAATATTCATGTCCTGTGGATAGCAGAAGTCACTTGATCGGAAATGGGGGGTTGGAGAGGCGTAGCAGCTGTTGGCGTCACCGGAGTGGAAGACAAAACATGAGCGTTGCCGTGAGGTTTCAAAACAACCGCAGAGGAAGCAAGAGAAATCGCCGTTTTTTTAGCACCCCCGGAGGATGAGAGATTCTTCTTGGTGGTCTTCTTGCCGGTAGGGACTGAAGAATTCGCTTTGGATTCCATCGGGATTCTTGAGAGTGAGAGTTGAGGATCTAATAAATGCAATCGAAACATAAGGTAAGGGGGGAGATCTATAAATACTAAATTGGAGAGGAAGATGAAGGGTGGGTGGAAGCCATTGAAGGTGAGGAAATGAGGGATTGATTAGATTGAAACAAAAAAATTAATTAGAACAGAGAGTGGGTAAGATTGATGGGAGAAACTGAATATAGGTACTCACAGAGGAGGGAGTCGAAAGGTGAGAGAGGAGCTAGAGTGTTTGCCGACTAAAGATGTAACCGGTGAGACCAAACCGGTGTAACCATGACATTAGAATCTCGTACAGAACCAAAATTGAAACTGGTTTGTTTTAAACACTCCCATTGGCTAATTATTTCTGTCGACGTGGCAGTGTAAGATGGCTTCTTTTGCTACTTTTAATAGTGTTTGATTNGAAAGGTGAGAGAGGAGCTAGAGTGTTTGCCGACTAAAGATGTAACCGGTGAGACCAAACCGGTGTAACCATGACATTAGAATCTCGTACAGAACCAAAATTGAAACTGGTTTGTTTTAAACACTCCCATTGGCTAATTATTTCTGTCGACGTGGCAGTGTAAGATGGCTTCTTTTGCTACTTTTAATAGTGTTTGATTTGTCAACCATCTATTAAATTATTACTAAATTTACACAAATGTAATTCTATAAATTATTTTCAAATTTGAGATCAAGATATAAAAACTATTATGTTTGAAATGTTATCTCTAGGGATTGAGCATTTAACATCAAAGCAAAATCGTATTCTCTCTATTCTTTAATAGTTGATGTTTTAAAAGAATTTTTTTGTTTTAAATTATTTGGTGTTTCCAATTTTCTATATATAATTTATTAATGATTAATGTGTTAGATATATTATAGTCACTGTTCTGTTATTAGTTGAATTTTTTTTAGGTAAATAAATTATAATGTTTTTGTTTGCGAAATGAAAAAAAAATTAATATTTTCTTAATTTATGTGCATAATCTTAAAATATCTTACAAAAAAGAACGGAGTACAACTATTAATGATTATGAGGTTAAATGACATTTACTAACATTTTGGTTTTGCTTGATAAAATTTCCAATCGATCTTTTGATAATAACGATGACGATTGACGAACATAGAGAATATAAGTCGTCGCATATGTCCAACAATTTTTTTCTTACTATTTTTTGCATTAGTTTAGATGATCAGCATACAACTAGGAACAAGAAACATAACAACAATATCTATGTCCAACATGCTACTTCAGTTTTTTATACTTGTTTTGTATTTGCTCATAATTTATTCTCACGACTGATGAATGATAGTTTCAGTCTTTCTTTTATTTCTTCATTTGTCAACCATTTACTAAACTATTACAAAATTGCTCAAAGAGTGACTTTAACATTTGCTAAAAAATATATAATCTAATGAAAACATTTGAATATAACAGTTGTATTAATTAACTTAGCAGAAAATAATCCATTTATTTTAACAGTTGTCTTTAATACAAACTAAGTTGTAGTATTTTCTAAAACATATCCTACAAATTTAGGAGGAAGAAATAATGAACAACATTTGAATCCTTCCCATGTTAAATTTAGCTAAAAATTTAAGATCTACACCAGAATGATATCCTTCATTGGTGACTTCCAAGTGATTTCTAGGAATTTGCAGAACGAAAACTAACTTTTCAAAGCTGAGTGTTTTTTTTTTTGAAAAAAATATTTTTGAAAGCTTCAGTTCAAAAAAAAAAAAAAAAAAAAAAAAAAAATCTTTTTGACCTTTCAAATCTTGGAATCACAAAGACAATCCCCTAAGGACTCTCCGAATCCTCAACCGGCAACACTCCTTTCGTGGTGTTCTTCAGAACTCTTCAAAACTGAGTTTTTCCCATATGCTATATGCAAAGTGAATAAAGCTATAATTTAAAGAATTATAGTCCAACGCCCTACCTAAAGGGAAATTGCATTCAATGGCAATCAAAAATATTATATTTCATTCGATAGCAAAAATCCCTAGCATACATAGATATATCTTGTATTTTATGTATAATTCCCATTTTGGCTTCTCAAGCAACCTGTTAAACCTGCAAATAAAAAAATTAACTAAGAATTATAGAAGATTGTAAAAGTTACGTGTGGGCATCGGAAGAGTCATACATAGATCAAAAATATTTCTTCTTTCTAATTTACAGAGAGAGTGAACAAAATTTTGTCTAAAGATTACGCAACCGCTATAGCCCAGGTTTTCGTCTAAAGATTGCGCAATCCCTACAGCCCACCGGAGATCCCGGCGTCTTTCCAAATATCTTCACACTGGCCAACTGACATATGTTTTTCTGTTTCTAACCGTCCCTGATTAGAGAAGCAACCACAAAACAGACGTAACAGGCGAATTAGAGAATTTCCTCAAAGCTTTTACAATAGTAGTTAGATCATCTTTAAACGGAATTTATAATCCACCTGTAAGTTCCGTTTCGTCGATTTGTTTGCCTCACACTAAAATTTCATGTCTTACTGCTTCATTCCTCTCAAATTTTGACATGTTATTCTCTTTCTAAAGCCAAGTCGCATTATCTCCTTTCTCTTCAAACGAGTTGAACAACTTATTACTATTCTATACCACATGAGTTATATATAGTATTTCGGATTTGTCTATTCTATGATTATGCATGTTATTTTATTTTGATTTTTTGGCTATATCAGATATCAGTAATTTTCATGGTTCCGTTATGTAAAGGGGACAGTGACCTATTCTGTGGTTATGCATGTCTTCTTCCGGGTTCATTGAACTATTTTCCATATATCATTATTATACTATATGATAGTTTCGTAATCTATACTACTGCGTCTGTAATAATTTGTCTCCGACGTGGTTTGTTCTATTTTATCTTCTTTAGTTATAGTATACTACTTCCCTAGTACATAGTATTATGTTGTTGGTAGTTGTTGGTTTCACAAAAGACTCCATTATATCATTAAAGCGGCGTATAAAGAGGATCCAAAGTATATAGATTGTATTTGGGTTTATAGATCCGAGATTAGGATTTAGATTTACTAAGTAGGGGTTTAGCTTCGGTTGAGTATTTATGCATATAACAACTAATTACGATGGAGTAAAATGCACCAGCTACACTATTTATAAAGGTTTCATGTATACTACGGAAGATAAATTTGCATATATAGAGGGCCCAAAGTATATAGATTGTATTTTGGTTCATAGATCAGGGATTAGAGTTTAGATTTACTAAGTAGGGGGTTTAGCTTTGGGTTTAGTACTTATGCACATAACAACTAATTGCAATGGAGTAAAATGCACCAGCTACACTGTTTATAAAGGTTCCATACTATTTATACTACGGTAAGATAAATTTGAAGCATATTATATTGATTTTATTTGGGTTTATAGATCAGTGAGTAGGGTTTAGATTTAGTAATTACGAGTTTGTCTTGTGTTTTAGTATTTAATTTGGGGGCTAAGGTTTATTGTTTAGGGGCCAAACTATGTCGATACAATGTAGTGTATCCACACATTTAAGACATAGCTATTTTATTTTGTACTGTACTATTCTATATTACAAACGTTTGACTTTAGAGAATACTTAGTATGGAACACTGTAGTGAAGATAAAATAGTTTGAACTTTGTTTATACTATTATACGAACCTTTCTAC